GATACGCACCGCGCGCGGTGAGCTGGAGGAGGAGAAGCTCCGCGTGCAGCGGCTCAAGGTGGGGGCGCCGCTGGATCGGAGACGAAGCGGGGTGTGCCTGCGAGTCGGTTCGCCGGGCCTTAGGTCTTCTTCCAATGGGGGGGCGTCATGCCCAGTCTTGGTGGAAGGGGTGCGGTGACAGTGGGGACACTTGTCCCTCCCTGAGAAGAGTCTGGGACCGTGAGGTCTTGTCCCAGTTTGGGGGAGTCCCAGTTCGGGGGTGTCTTAGGGTGAGCTTTTGTTCAGGGGGTCCCATGGGGAAGGGCATTGGCTTCACCTCTGGGAGTGTCTGCCCGTCCCTTTGGAAGGGTGGGGGGCAGGGCCGTCTGTCCGGCCGGGGTCGTGGGCATTGAGGGTGGGCGAGGAGGCCGGGAGTGTCTTTCACCTGGCAGTGCTAGGGAGCCCTGCAGCGTGCGCCCTGGGCCGCCTGTCTCCGGATGGTGTCCGCAGGTCCGAGGGCACCCTCGCGGGGCGGGGCTGAGCCTAGCGCGGGCTTCTTTCGTGCCCAGAGGAAATCCCTGCGCGAGCGCTGGCTGATGGACGGCGCCGCCGAAGGACCTAAGCAGCACGGGGACCCCACTGCCCAGGACCCTGAGTCGGCGGAGGGCCAGGCCCAGGCCCGTATCCGAAACCTGGAGGACAGCCTGTTCACGTGAGCGCGGTTCCTGACGTGGGGGGGGGCTGAGCCTGGGGTTCCCTTCCGGCAGCCCCCTCTCTTCCACAGACTGCAGTCCCAGCTCCAGCTGCTGCAAAGCGCCTCCACAGGTGCCCAGCACCGGCCCCCAGGCAGGCCCTCCTGGCGCAGACAGGTGAGGAGTGTGGGGAGAGGCGTGGCCAGCATGGCTAAGGCTAGAACCCCGAGTCCTCTTGCACCCTTCTCTCTGCGATCCTGAGCAAGTCCATTTCCTTGCTCGAGCCTCAGTTTCCCCATCTTTAAATGGACATATCACAGCGTACTTGGAATTGATGCTTCTAGGATCAGAGAGATGGTAGCTGAGCGCCAGTACCCAACGGGGGGGGGTTGATTTATGTTTAATAGCCAAGTGTGAGGGCGCACACCTATAGTCCCAGGAGGCTGAGGCCGGGGCAGGAGAGATCACTACCATTTTCGAGGTCATCCTGGGGCTACATAGTGAGTTTAAGGCCAACCTGAACTACATAGTGAGACCCTGTCTCAAAAAAAAAAAGAAAAGAAAAGAAAATGTGGGTGGATGGATCTCCCTGTGACTTAGCCTTGAAGGTAGGAGAGGATAAGCAAAAGACATTCTTGTGAGTCGTTCTTTTGACCAAGGTCTCACTATGTAGCCCCAGCTGTCCTCGTACTTGTGACAATCCTCTTGCCTCAGCCCCCTGAGCGCTGGGATTATAGGTGTGTGCTATCATACCCAGCCCACATGCATTTTTTATTGTCTTGTTTTGGTTTTGGCAGCAGCTTCATTAAGATAGAATTCAGATGCCATGAAACACACAGGCTTTATTTGGGGGGCGCTGGGATGGAACCCAAGACTTCACACAGTCCAGACAAGTGCTCACCATTGAGCAGCAACTCACCCCTGAGCCCAACAAACACGCTTTTGAAAAAATAGAACAATTCACATTACAGTCTGGCACTCTGGGTTTTACTTGAAGTCCAAAAGACCCAGGTACATTTGTGCCTGGCCATAGGGGGCATGGCTATTCCACAGTGCTCCGCTCCCCTGATGTCTTACCTTGGAGCCCCAGAGGCTGCTGGGTGACAGAGCAGAAAGGGAGACTTCTGCTTGGGGGGGTGTGCAGAGATGTGTAGGTCATGGCTGCAGCCCCAGGTCCAGTGAGGAGATAGGGTAGAGTCTAAGAGGAGCTGGGAGTTCAGGGAGGGCTTGCTGGGTGTGCTGCCTGTCATCCCAGCCCTCTGGGAGGCTGAGGCAGGAGGATCATAAATTAGATTCGAAAGGGGATGGAGTTCAGTGTAAAAGCCCTGGGTTCAATATTCAGTACCAACTAACTGACTGCTTGCTGGTGTCATGTCTAAGCTGAATCTGGGGTGAGGTAGGATCATCAGACAAGAGGGAAAGGGCACTGAGGCAGAGGGAACTGCACAGGCACAGGCAGGGAGGCTGGGAAGAGGAGGCCAGGGTGGGAGGGCTGAGGGCACCCTGGGCTTGGCCCGGGCAGCCTGCTTCCACCCAGCTCCCCTCCCTGGGCTGTCTTTCACTCTTGCTTGCTGGCCCCTTCACTCCATTGCTATCGCAGGCACAGACCTCCGTCTGTTCCTTGAACTTTTCTAGCCCCCCTCGAGTCCCCAGGGCCTTTCCACTTGTTTGTTGTCTCCTCCGCCTGGAATGCTGTCCCCACCTGTGACTTCCGGCTGGCTTGTTTCACCTCTGAGGGCTCCTCTGGCCCTTTGTCTAAGAGGCCCTTCTGCATCTGCTACACCCCATCCCCTCCGGCCCCTCCTACTCCCCTCTTCCTCTCCGTAGCCCTCCTCAGCTGTTGTTACCCTCCTCTCCTCATGGAAAGGAAGTTCCACTAGCAAAGGGCTCCGGAGTCCCTTGCTGGGCTGGGCTGCAGTGCAGCGGTAAAGCACTTGCCTAGCATGCAGCAGGCCCTGGGCTCCATCCGCAGCACACGCACACACACAGTATGAATGAGAATGAAGACAAACAAAACAACTGGGGCAGGGGATGTAGCTCAGTGGTGCCTCAGCCTATCTCAAAAGTGCCTATCTCAGAAGGTCCCAGGTTCAATCCCTGGTACCAAAAAAGAAGGCGGGAGAGAATGAATGATTAGGACTCTCTTGTGTAGGGTAACTTCAGTAGCTGGCAGAGTGGGCCCCTAGGGCAGAGAGGTTAGCTATATGTATGCCATATGGCCAAAGCACTGTATGTGCAATCCTGGAGCAGATGGAGACAGAACAAGTGTAGAAGGCTGGGTGCAATGTGGGGTTTGGTCCAAAAGGCAATAGGGAGCCATGGAAGGTGTTTGAGCAGGGGTGGGACCCTGGTGTACAGACTTGGGATGAGGGCCTACTTGACCTTTTCTGCCATCTCTGCAGGGTCACCGTCCTCTTTCCCAGCCCACCATGGAGGCAAGTCCTGCAGGTGGGTGTGGGAACCCTTAGGTGTGGGGGCTCAGGTCACCCCCAGATTGCACAACCTGCCGTTCATCCTTACCTCCTTTCCCTTCTTTCCTCTCCTCTGATTCTACCAGGCCAGGCAGATGTGGACAAGAGAGCTTCCCTGCCGGTGGGGCCCATGGGTTTGTCCCCAGAGTCCCCTTCTGAGCCCAGGGAGTGGGCCCCAAGGCAAGTCCCTGGGGCAGGGGCGTCCCCTCAAGAAGTCAATGGCCCCTGCTCAGGGCCCAGCCTTCCTCCAGAGCAGCAGCAGAGCCTGGGGACGGGCACCATGGCCAAGGGGAGTGTGGTGGAGGCCAAAGGGGGGGACATGGTAGAGGTGGTGTGGGAGGGGCTCCAGGACCCCAAGGACTGTGCCACGGGTGCCACTGGCCCCGTGCTGGAGGCCAGGGTGGAGCAGGTGGTGCTGGAGGCCATCGGGGACAGGCAGGGGCCGGGCAGCCCCGAGCCCCCCGCCTGGGTGAGGGAGGACAGGGGCATCGTGGAGGTGGTCTGGGAGGGGCTGGGGGGCAGTGACCACGAGGCCCTGGAGGAGGTGGGCGGTGGTGAACCAGAGCTCCAGGAGCGCCTGGGAGGCACGGGGTCCAGAGACAGGGAGCATGGCAGGCAGGGGGATCCCGGAAGGAATGAGGGCTCCTTCATCTGGGTGGAGAGGGTGACGGTCAGTGAGGACTGGGAGGAGCTGCTGATGGAGGGTTTGGAGGGGCCCCCGGGGCCTGGCAGGGAAGCTGGTGTGGAGGGCCCGCCAGGGACCCGTGGGGGAGGGGGTGGGGAGAGGAGAGGGGAGGGGCCTGCAGGAGCAGGGGAGGAGCGGGGCGAGGAGGGGCTGGGGACAGGCGGGGAAGGGAGGCAGAGGGAAAGCCGGGCGTCCTCAGAGCCGGAGGGGACAGCAAGCGAACAGGACTTGGGAGTCGAGAGGGAGGCAACGGAGGGGCCTCTGAGGGCAGAGGGGGAACACAGGGAGGAGAAGCCCGGAGGAGAGGTGGAGGCGCCACTGGGAGTGGACGAGAAGGGAGGAGAGGAGCGGACAGAGGAGAAAGCTGAGGGCCCGTTGGGATCAGGGAGGGTGGGTGAGGAAGGGTCTCTGGGAGGAGGGAGAGGAGCTGGGGAAGAGCGAGGGGCAGAGGGGATGGAAGGCGGGCAGCCAGAGGAGAGAGGGGGCGAGGAGGAGCCAGGGGTCGCTGAGGAGCCCGTGGTGACAGGAAGAAAAGAAGGCGAGGAGCCGTTGAGGGGAGAGGAGCCCCGTGGGGCCCAGGACCTGCAGAATGGAACAGACCAGAGGGAAGCTGGGGAGGGAAGGGAATCCCAGGCTGCGGCAGGGAGCGAGGCGGGCGCACCCCTCGGGGTCCTGCAGGAACCGACGCCAGAGTTGCAGCCCCC